CCCCCCATCATATACAGTATGTGGAAAAAATACCCTCCCCCAATTGACATAAATTTCACTGATTTCAAGACACTCTTCTGCCAAAATAGCTACCACTGCTTGTTGGGGGTGGTTTCTGTACCATGTATTGAGTAATATATGGAAGATCTTACAGTGGTGCAGCTCTAATGATACAGCTGTGCCACTGTACGGTTCATTGTAGATATAACATTGTAAACAAGAAGTTATGTTGGCAATGGCAGCACTGTAAGAAATTATATCTATATATATATATATCTCTATATGTACACACACACACACAGCACAGGCTCATGGGTAGCCAAATGAGATACCTCAGGCTTGGATAGTGTAGAACTAGTTTCTGAGAGAAATTCTGGCTATGTTGCATTAATGAAAAATTACCTTCTTAGATGTAGGGATGATTACTAATGAGAGATAAGTTGTTACATTGGTGAGCTGTCAGAATCCATGCCGATCGCAAGATACACAAAATATGATTGTGCAATATAATTCAGCAACCCATCCAGATAGATGTTTTGGAGAAAGACTTCATTAGAACAAAATCCTGCCTTCTATTCACACACAAAAATTCCCTCCCCTCCTCCCGCCTCCACTGCTAGAAACATAGTAGAAAATTCATTTTATTCACCCAAATAGATAAGTGTCAGCAGACCGTTATCCAGTGTTCTGTTCTCTAGAGTAACTTGTTCCTGAGACTATGAGGAATGAGCACTATGCTCATTTGTTCTTTTCTGAAAACATCAATTGACAAACCAGTTAAAGGAATTTCTGGTATGGAAAGCATCCAAAATACAAATGTATGCTTTTTTATATGAAGATGTAGTCCTTGCATTGGCAATTTGAAAGCACAAAAATGGATGCAAAATTACCCAATGCTAAGAGAATGTCACGATATATATTGGGCTCATTGAATCATTACAACTGGACTTAGTTTTTTAAAAGACCCATTATAATTGTATTTCCATTAAACATGTCTTATGAGCATATATGAAAACTTAGAGTATTAGCCAATATAAATTATCATGCAATCTCAAGGATAATACAGGGGTCTTACTTACAAAACTAGTAGCCATACCGAAAGTATTTCAGAAGTATTGTGCTATTAATTAAGATAGCAGAGTGTGACATCTACTTTCCATTCACATCCTGCAGATGTATATGGCTACCAAAGATGCAAGGTTAGAGAATCAGGTCCTTAGATTTTAACCAAAGAGGTTTTGTGAGGAGCAGGACACCCTCAGGACCCTAAAGGGGTTATCTAATTTAATTAATGATAAAGCCTACCTATGACTATCCAGAGATGATGATCTAAAAAGATAGTCTTTACCCCAGTGAACTTACTATCAAAGTATAAGAGACAACACATCTAGAAGAGTACAAGAAAACAGCAAGATACAATTGGTCAGTAGGATAGGCAGCGGTCTCAGCGTTAGGGATGTAAGTGACTAGGCATATTGGGTAGTTGAGTCACAACTCAATTAGTCACTTCTCCCCCCCTCTCTCTTCCCTTGCTGCCTGTATTAGATAACACTATTAGAGGCAACAAGTGGGGGAGAGCTGGAACCTGTGCTGGGGGGAGCCGACTTAAAAGCTGGTTCCACCCAGCACCATTTCCATTGGGGGGCAAGGGAGGCAGAGGCACAGCAGGGGACTGCGTCTGGCTGCTCTTACTACATTCAAAAAGCAGAGCCACAGTGGGGGACTGGGTGTATCTGGAACACACACACAAGCTTGTCTTCAAAGGCTTATGGACAGTTTTTTTCAAAGCTTGACAAGACTTTGGACTTACTATAAGCCTAAAAGAAGTTAACAATACGCCAAGCAGTTGAGGAAGCACTTTTCATCAGGATCAACACGTAAGAACTTGTAGTGGTGAACAAATTCACGTACCTGGGGTACTTTATCACAATCAACCTTTCACTAAAACTAGAACTCAGAATTTGTAATGTCTAGACTGGGAGAGAGGGTATGGCAACAAACAAACAAACAAAACAAAATCCCCAAACCTAACAGAACACACAAAGATCTGTGTGTATTGTGCATGTGTTATCAACACACATTTGTATAGGAGCAAGAAATGGATGTGTAGAAGCTATTTCATATTTAGCTAGAAGCCATTCTGTATAACAAAAAGCCATTTCAGTTTCTTGTGTCTGCACGAGGGAGTGAACTGGCCTTCACCGAGGTGGGGAGAGACCAGAGGGATGCGCTGTTGGAATGTGTTAATGAACTATTTTGAGCTGAAGCTCGAACTCCCTTTTAACCTGTTTCTTTCTATGCTGATAATAATTCCTCTTTGAAGTTCTCTTTGATTTCTTGCCCTGACGTCAGACTTGTTTGGTTAAGGGTATAAAATACTAGGATTGATTGTATTAAGCAGCCTTACTGGACCCGGCTTTGCTGGGACCACGTTTGGTTCACTTTGCTTTTATTGGCCAATAAAACTGTCTGTTTAGCCGCGTAAACTGAGTGAGGCGTTTGCTTCGACAGATGTCATACTCTTCATCAGGAAAAGAGGCTCAACAGCTTTTATAAGCATTTCCTGAGGTTCTCAAATGGGCCAGCAAACCCAGTATGCAAACACTCCTCAGAGATGCTTCCACTGGCTTGGGCATGTGTTCCAAATGAATTATGGGCATGTCCCAAAGGACATTCTCTATGGCAAATTGGCATTTGGAAAAAGACACAAGACATTTTAAGGATATGTGCAAGGAAGACCTCAAAAAATGGATATGAATGTGGACAAACAGGGAGATCACACTCAAGACCGTAGCTTTTGGAAACAAGAACTTAACTGAGACCTCCCAGAGTTATGAGAGAAAGCAGTCCATTTTAGCAGAGGAGAAAAGAGCCTGCTGAAGGCAACCATGTTCGCAGCTTCCATTACATCAACTGAGTAAAGTTTTTACCTGTCGGGGCAGATACGTATGGCCTCTTAAGACTGAAGGATGCCTACTATGTGTTTCTCAAATGTGTGGACTCATTCAGTGTGTTAGTCTGGTACTGTGCCCACCAAGTAGACACACGTTTAATTAGCAAACATGTTCCTTGGGAACTCCATAATGTTAGAACTCCATAATATCTGCTAGCATAGACCTTAGATATTTCTGTTTTCAGTCTCTTGATTCACTTTTCTTTGATATTGCAGACCTTTTGCATCCACTTCTTCCTGCTTTTATTTTATAGGTGTGATAATCTTGATTACCAGTAACTTATATTTTAAAAAATATATTTTTACATTAGTTTCCTAGCTCCTATTCTGGCCTTTTAAAAATATCATATTTTCTTCTAGCAAAGACTTGATTGATTTGTTTATTTTAAACATTACTCTTGGGTTCTTTCAGCTTTAGTGTCCCCATGGGGTAGAGGCGATATGAATCTGTATTCATATACGTTTTCCTTTATTTACAGTAAAACCATTCTTAAATCAAGAAGAATATCAAAGAACTGAGGACATAGTTAAAAAGTTTGAACATGGGATTGGAAAAGAGTTGCAGCATAAATTACTGGAAAGGGCTAAAACAAAGAAGAATTGGGTATGTTTTGAACTATGATTTTATAAGGCTATAAAATATTTCCTGGGTGTCTTGATAAATCTAGTTTTTGGTTTTGCTGCACAAATGAGCCAACACTATATTGTAATAAAAGTGAGTGCAATTCATGCTTACAATTAAATGTGCACACTCCATCGTAGCAAACAGATTAATGTGCAGTGCCACTTTGCATAATGTTATGCCATTTTAACAGATATCTTTCAGATTCCACAATACCATCGGAGGCCCTCATAGCTCTGAAGGAATCAGCTTTGCTAGTTCATTGCTGTGGGTAAAATGTGTGCAGCAAGTCCTCCCCTCTCCCTCCAAAATATTATGCTGTCCATAATATAATCTGCACACCCCTTGCCTCCTTCCCATTTGAGAACCTCTGGTTTATCTTCATCTATCAGTTACTCAATTATATTACAGGCAGTCCCCGGGTTACGTACAAGATAGGGACTGTAGGTTTGTACTTAAGTCGGAGCTGGCATCCAGATTCAGCCGCTGCTGAAACTGACCAGCGGCTGACTATTATGCTGTCCATAATATAATCTGCACACCCCTTGCCTCCTTCCCATTTGAGAACCTCTGGTTTATCTTCATCTATCAGTTACTCAATTATATTACAGGCAGTCCCCGGGTTACGTACAAGATAGGGACTGTAGGTTTGTACTTAAGTCGGAGCTGGCATCCAGATTCAGCCGCTGCTGAAACTGACCAGCGGCTGACTGCAGGAAGCCCGAGGCAGAGTTGCTGTGCCCCGGGCTTCCTGGAATCAGCCGCTGATCAGTTTCAGCAGCAGCTGACTTGGGGACACCTGGGATAGAGCACCTGGGGTGCTGCCGGGTTGGTCCCCACAGCGCTGAGGTGTGGCGCTGCGGGGACCTACCCGGCAGCGCCCCAGCTGCTCTGTCCCAGGCGTCCACATTCAGCCGCTGTTGAAACTGATCAGCGGCTGATTCCAGGAAGCCCAGGGCAGAGCAACTCTGCATCGGGCTTCCTGTAGTCAGCC